CCCACCTTACATATTTTCTCAAGGAATCCAACAGTTTCATCGTCAAAGCCTCATTCTTTGCACCCAGCGTGGTCATAAGCATGTGGCTGTCATTAAATGCCTGCAGAAACCATAAAGAGAATTGTGTTACTTTCGGTTGCCACCACATGAAAAAGTTGGCTCTTTCATCCACGCCACTTACCAGAAAATGCTCATCTGCGTGGCTCTCCCAAAACTGACAAAGCTGTTGCCATCTGTCACCAACATCGACTCCTGCAAAAACAACACTTATAGTCATATTGTTTATTTATTGTCCATTTAGTTTGTTGTCTTCTTTGTTCCCATAAATCATGTCCAGAAATAATGCCTAGCACCGTCTCGTAACTTAAGTCATCCAACAAACCCATTAGCTATTTGGTTTCTGTCACAGTGTGCTTGCAGCACCTAGTGATAATCTTACTCAAAAGTAATACTCTCATCCCTTTGAAAAGTGACAAAAATTCGTGCAATAAAACTTGCTTACAATGCTTAAACAATGCTATTCCTAACAACAAACAATACAACCACAACCACTACATGGATACCCAAAAAGTTATATGATTAAGAACATCTTACGTTAACAGACACCTGCAGTTATTGGCCACGCGTCTAACTATTGAAATAGAAGCTAGAATCATGAAGAGATTTTCATTCCCATAATCTTACGTGACACATTTCTATACCCTACAGAGGAGAAGGGTCGAAAATGTAATGGCACACGGCCATAAGAGGTATTGACAAGTGGTAATAATAGACATACATAATTCAACAAGCAGGGATTCTGTCAGCTTCAACTAAAATTTTCTAACCTTCGAGTTGCACTCTATACAACAAAGATGATCCATCCGTCAATGGGAAAACGTTGCTAGCCTTAAATCTTGGTAACATCTGCGAATAGGGAAATGAAAGTACTTCAAGCTTCCAAAGCAGATTTACCAATTGTAAAACATAGAGAAAACGAAATACGACTACGCGCCTAACGGAGAACAAAGCTTGACCCTCATAACTCCTGGAGGAGATGAGCATTTAATTTCTCCCTACAATATCAGCCCTGAATCAAACCTAAAGGTCACGAGAATAAAGGAAATGATCACCAGCGAAAGAAGTTCTTGATTGTTGAACAGATTCTCTGAGTCAGCACCTCAGGAATTGTATAGAGAACTATATATAGAGAATACATTGTATTTATACTCGTGTTAGGGTGTAAGGATTAATCCACGTACATATTTACCTCAGAGTCGTAGATATCCAGGGCTGCTTCGTACTCTCCCTGTATTCAATAGGAAAAAAAAAGGGGGGGGGAGCGGAATTAAACAGTTCAATATACAACATAAAAACAAAAACATATCAATAATGTTGGCGGACTAACTGAAGTGCCAACGAAACCACATTAGATGGCACCAACCCCCTTTTTTTGTAACCGGCCACTTTTTTTAAATTTTGGTGTAAAGGTTTGGTGCATTTGTCTTTCTTTTTAACATAGGTGATAAAAAGGGTGCCGGATGTTGGGTACGTCGCACAATGGTTTAGATCGCCCATGTGCCACATTATCATTATTCTTGCGTTTCCAGTTGAATGGTGGGAGCAAAATGTGATCGAGTTGGCATCGATTCCGTGAAGCTACGCAGTGAACACGTCACTTTTCACAATGGCTTTGATTATTTGTATCGAGATTAGCAACTTGTTTCTATCAGAATTTAACAAGATATTATTTCATTTCATCGAGAAAAAAATTCTTATTTCACTTTTGAAAAGTCGTAAGTTAAATTTGGGAAATTATCTTTACCTGTTGTCGCAAGCGAATGTTAACTGATAGCATACCTTTTCAATATGATACAAAGCCCAGTGCCAGAAATTGTGGCAAGTTAATGATTCACATGGCTGGCAGAAAAGAAAGACAAGTTTGTCTTAGTGAACTGAATATTGACTCGCAGGTCTGAAAGGTTGAGATACACTTGAAAACTGGTCGCCGGGACACAAATGTCACACAGAATTTGTATGAAAATGAAGCAGAGACAAATGTTTCTTAAAAAAAGATAAATGTAAAGTATGTATAATAATAATAACATTAATACTAATTACAATAATAATAATAATAATAATAATTGTTATAAAAATAATAAAATGAAACGCAAAATGCCTTAATGACTTGTTCCCGGCCCTCGACAATTTCCGTCGTTTTTATCTCAAGGCACTAAACATACGTGTACCACTCTTGATCAGTCAGCACTAAAGGGTAGTGGAATATCTTTGCATTTCCGATGCAACTTTGTGACTGTGATCAGTCGCTCAAATTCAACTGGTTTAAACTCGTAGACCTCGACAAAATTTTGTCGTAGAGACAAGAATTTCACATAAAAATATTCCTCTGCTCATGTCACAAGCGGCAAAAATGTCGCCATGACCTGTCTCCGTGACGAATCGCAGTGGCTTGTAATGGAGGCAGTACACATGAAACGATTTGTTGTTAAGAACAGACATTGAGTTGACGACTTAAAAAATGGAGCTTGACAACTTAAAAAGGAGCAATCTCATAAAAACTCATTTCACACACCTTCCAGTTCTCTATGGTTTCACTCATAAATTTAATCCCTTCATCCTGACGGCCTTCCATCTCCATAACATGAGCCAAGGCGTGTGTTGCTCCTGTATCTTTTGGAACTAGTTCCAATCCCTAACATTTAAAGGAAATCCATTAATATTCAGATATTATTATTCAGATATTGCATATTATTGTAATAGACCCTCATGCAAAACAGTAACAGAAACTGGAAAACAACATTCATGTGTGGTCTTAAAAAGGTTATGACATTATTTGGGAAAAGTCCGTTCCCTCTTTTTTTGGAGTTGTAGAAGTTGTAATTGTGGTTGTTGTTTGTCCCTCTGTTTCTCTGTTGGCTCTTTGTTTCAATTGCTAATACTTTGTTTTCGTATCGTTATCTTTAAGCGCATTTTTTTATTTCGTTTCTCTCTCTTGTTTCCACTCTAACAAGGGTTAACGCTCGAGACGTCAGGTTTTTAAAATCTCTTTACGGTGGCCAATGTCATTATCAACTCGCAGTTCTTAAAATCAACTTATCTCTTTTGTTTGTTTGTTGCTTTGTTTTATTTTTTGTTTTGTCGGCTTTGTTGTACTTCTCCTGTATTTTATTTCTTTGTTTTTGTAGTTTTCCTTTAAAGCTTTTTTTTTTTTTGCTAGTTTAACCTATTAAGCTTTATTACAGTTTGGCACTTTATATACGTAAGTCGACTGGAATTCAAACGTCGCGGAACAAACAAGCACGCGAGATTAGCGAGCTTACCATTCTAAATATTGATACAACATTCCCACACCCTCCGTTTTTGCTCTCGTTTGGAACATACCTTACGAGCTTGTTTCTCTGCTTCTCTGTAGAAGTTTGTTTCTTCTAAACCAAAGGCGTACAAGCCAAAAAGATACCTGCAGTTGATGGATGTGTAAATGGTTTTTCTAAGTAACTTCAGTTATTTTTAATGTGTGAGTAGATAACGTAGGTACAATCAACAGCGTCATTTGTTGTAGCGGAGCTCCATATCAACAAGCGCGCTGACGGAGCTACAACTTCCATAAAGGCCAAGCCAAACGTACGCAACATTTCAACGCAACATCTTACAACATTGCTAGATCGCGTTGAGGGATGTTGCGAAGAAGCTGGCCAAACGCGTGCAACATCTTGCAACATCGAAAATGTTGTTACATTGCAAAAGCTTGATTCAACACCATCCAACATCTTGCACATTTTTCAACAGGGTGGCCAAACGTGCCAAACGTGTGTAATGTGGTTATCTATAAAACCGAAAAAAATTGGTGGAGGCGCCTCCGTTTATCTGCGGCTCTCTCAAGTCATTTAACGCCATTGCACACCACCATGCATATCATTTCAAAGTCTCAATACGCCTTAACCATGGTCCAACTGAACATTTTTGTTTTAATCCATCAGATCATTAAATTTCAGACAAAACTGATTAACGGCACACGCAAGGCAAATTGATAAAGCGATATGATAAATTTGATGATGGATATTAATCATTTTGAAAACTTGAAAATGTCACCACTACCACAGAAATTGCCATTACTGTACCCATATAACGGTGCGTCTTGCTTCCAATGTGGAAAAACCCTTGCCACACTGTCCCTGACCCTCTCCTTAGGACCATAAAACGTACTGTAGTCAGAGAGCATCTTCAATGCTAATATGTCAGTAGGGTACGCCATCACTATGTCATCCCAAATGTCTTGTGCTTTAGGTACATTTCTACAACAGCAATTAATGGTGTCATGAACAGAAAGGAGTGGTTGGATACTTTGCATGATGGGAACTATGTGTCAATTTGGTACACTGACACACATGATATTATTTTCATAACTTCACTGCCCACCTAGACTCGCAAATTCGAGGAACCTTATTAGAATAAGCCGCTGTATCACCTTATTACCTAAACTCCTGGATTAGTTTTGAAGAAAATAATTTTTAGCATGCTTGTGAGTTTGTTACTTTGATTGTCGCAGGTGTTTTGGTCTGACTTATGACTGGTGAGCTCGCTTTTCGTTCTCCCGCTCTCCTATCGTTGTAATCCTTTACCTAGCTTAGATTACCTTGGTTTCATGCCATAAATACTTAGACAATTGTATCTTACCCAGCTTCCAGCTCCTTTGCAGCGCTGAGATGAAGTAATTCTCTGTGGGTAAGGTCAGTTTTTGGAGCTCGTAATGGAGCAGCATCAGAATGCTTTATATCAAACAGACAAGTGGACGCCAAGACATGACCCATAACTGTACGAGATGGATCAAAACAAAGAATGTAGATCAATATGGGATCTCAATAACAAACTCAATAACAAGAATTCCATAAATCATTTACAGTGAAAAAAATTGTGCATTGCTATAGAGAATGATAACTGCCTCTCATTTATCACTGTAATTTAACCCATAAGATTAAAAAAAAGTTTTCATAATTCCTATTAACTAACTGAAAATAGAACAATATAGAGTAATTGCACAATGTGCCAAGTAAAGAACTAAAAGATGCAGCCCCTTTGAATATCATGGTGGGGAATATCATTATGTGTGTTTAAGTGGCGAGCTAAATGTAATCTAGCTAACTTTTCAGTTTTCATTGTGTGTGGAAGGTCTCTGAAGTATCGAAATTAAGTAAGTCTCAAACACTGAACTAAATGACAATTCTGAATAATCATAATAAAATTTGCTTGAAATGAATTCACCAAAATCAGGATCTGCTTGCAACATCCTGGTTATTGAATTCTGCAAACCACCAACACTGTCATCTTCAAGGTGAGCAACAACCTTAAAACCAAACATTAGACCAAACATGAACAAACATAAATAACAGTAAATAACAAAAAATAACAAAATAATAAATAATATCCTATTCAGGACTAAATTTTTTTTTCAGACCTTGTTTTCACTACTTAAGTAGTGTTCATGCCTGCAAATATTGCTTCGATATTTGACTCATTAACCACTGTTCACATGTATGATTTTTATATATTTACAGTCATTTATAAATAACAGTCTGGAAATCCAAATGATTGTACAATGTAACAAAGTGAACCTGTATCTACATAAAAACCTGGTATATTTGTTTAGTACTGGTAATTTGATACTGTCTCTGACTATACATAGTATTTAGCTAGGATATCATCTCAGTCAAGGATAATCTTTACTACAAGTGTATCTGGGGGTAACAAGGTCTACCACAACAAAAGACACAGAACATCAAAACATAGCTGCCTGAATATGAACCTTTACCTGAGTGAGGGAAGCATCAAACATTTTGGCAGCTTCATTGCTTGTTGTCGACAATGGAAGACCTTCTTTCCTCCATGCCTACATAACATACAGGTTAAACATCAATGCACTTTCAGAAAGGTCCTCTGCTCAGGTAGCTCATTCTTGATTGTATTACTTAACATTTTAATAGGACCTCTCCTATCTCACTGATAACCCTCTCCTGACCAACCACAGAGAAAAGAAGAGAAACTCTGGGAAGGAGTTTGATCCCCACCCCCCCGAGTCTCCTTATACTATTCTTCAGGGATCCTGTCCTATGTCCTCCTTCACATTCCCTTCTGCATTTAACCCTTTAACTCCCAAGATCTGATTGTCAATTCTCCCCTCTAGCTGTTACACATTTCCTTTTAAATTAGTCAAGAGCATTTGTTGTTAGATCAAGAATAACAACTTCTACATGATAAGTTTTAATACTCTCATTACCTGTTTGCTAGATAGTGTATGGATATTACATGGAGAAGTTACCTCTCAATGACTTCTGGGAGTTAAAGGGTTAAGTCATGGAATCTAATTATATCTGAACTTTCTCAGAAACTCATTTCAAGAGCAAAACCATTTCAGTGCTGATGACACACACTCAGCTTACAATGATCAATTCAAGTGCCCCTGGGATTAGAAAAATTTTGTCTGTCTCAGCCAATCAGCATTAAATAATTTTCCTGAAACATACTACACCCTCTAATCATACACTGAACTTCAAAATGCTAAATAGCGTATGATAATCATCAAAATTACGACATAATTACCTTCTGTCAAGTTGAAAATTCTGAACATGTGGGTGTTTATGGGTCAATAAAAATTATTTTTATCATCATGATTTTTTCCTCCATCAGTTTCATTTCTCAAACCGAAAAAAAAAAATGATTCAGCAGGGATGATGAAAGAACTGCATTATCACATAGCTAATAACGACTTTTATGACCTGAAAAAAATTCCATAACAAAAGAAACTTAATTAAGGAAATTCATAAGACCAGTATGGCCTTGCGTATCGTAGAATCTTTTTTTCTGGTTGTCCTGCGTGCGCCTTTTAGGTTGAAACAAAATTGCTTAAATTTTCAACACGTATCGATGTGTCATATTATAATGTGTTTAATGACTGAGTTTGATCGGGAGAATATTTGGCGTAAGGTCATAGCATACGAAACGAGCTAAGCGAGATCCGTATGTCGACCTCGAGCCAAATATTTTGCCGTCCAGTCCGACCAAACTCAGTCTGTAATAAGTACATACTACCTCTACATCTCTCCAATGAGTGTGCTGGTATGACATTTCCTTGCCAGTACAACGATACGTAAGATCAAATCCGGTCAGGATGATCGAAGACACTGAACCCTTCCATGTCAAGAAAACAAAAACCTACACCTCCACCTAAATACACAAAGCTGCATTTTGGGGGTGCTCAAGTCAAGATCTTCAGGTGTTTTTACCAAAGTTTTGCCTCGAAAGTCAATCGAACCTTGACTTATTAAAAGAAATTAATTACAGAGAATTTTCGTTCGTGCAAGCAGAGACCATTCCCTGAGCCCGCTATAGTTCTGGTCAGAACTGGGAGAAAGTAACGCAATAATAGCATATGCAAAGTAGCGCACTATTCAAGTTAGTCACGCACTTACGGGCTTGTGCCTAAGTCTGTCCGCTACCGGTGCTTTAATTATTTTCACTTTCTTTTCAGTAATAATACACCTAGGAAAACCAACAAAGAAACAACCAAACATAAACAACAGAACTAAAGAAAAATTAAAAAACCGGTCGGTGAATACGAGCTATATTCTGCCATGTTTGTATTGACCCGCGTCCCCCTAAAAGTCCTCGAAAAAACCCTCAAATCTAAGCCACCGAATTTTAGTCACAGGGCTACCATGGTTCTACCGAGGCTAAGATCAATGCAAACATTTTCGAAATTTGCTTTGATTTATCAATCGATAAACCAATTAGTGAGATACTTCATGGGTAGTTTTGTTATTTTGTTCTTATTTTTTTTCCTTGTTTTATGCTTATTATTGGTTAACATTTGTCTTTCGCTTAGTTGTTTGTTGTCTTTTTTTGTCTGTTTTGCAGATTTCCCCCCGGATTAGCTTTTGTTGCGTTTTGCTTTGTACCCTGCGTGAACCTCCATATGCGTTAAATTTTTGGTCTAGTTTTAATCTCTCTAAGATGATCTTAATCCCATCGTTTTTTTTTGGAATGGGGGGGGGGGGGGGGGGGGGGGGGGGGGGTAGGGGGAGGGGAAGAGAAGGGGGCATGGAATACATTATTTTATTTCGTCATTATTATTCTATTTTAGACGCTCACAGCATTAATATAAGAAAAACCAACAAGGTTTTACGCCTTGACAAAGATGACACTGGTTTCACTTTTTTACCATCTACTCTCCTTCGGTCTTGATGAATACTTCGTGTAGGTAAAAGCAAGATTTCGAGTGCAATTTGGTGCTAATAATCACGAGTAAATTTTTTCAAGACAACAAAATTGTACGAGCCGGTAGGGCAAGTGCAATTTGTAGCCTTTGAAAAAATTTCAAGTCCTTATTACACAAAACTGCATGAAAATTCATGCCATTATTTGTTAATAATGTACATGGAAAAATCATCACAAAAAGTCAAGACTGAGGAACTTTTGAAAGCGCGCGCGCGCAATTTGTAGTTTGCACTCGTGTTACAACTTTGCACTCGTGTACATGAGAATGCACTCGTTTTCAGCCAATCAGAAGCGCGTAATTTTTCCAGGTACATTATTACACCACTAGCAAGATTGGAAAATTGTCGGTTTTTGACTGTTTAAATCCCAAGATCTGATGCTGAGTACTCCCTTTTGGCTTCAGTGCATTTTCTTATTTATAAGCCGATACAATTCAGTGTAAATAAAATTATTTTTTTTGAAGCTGATAAGTTCGTGTATTCTCATTACCTGATTTCTGTACAATGTATTGATATCATAGAGAGAAGTCACACGCTTGTCAATTCTGGGAGTTACAGGTTAGGGAAACGTTATGTTCCGTTCTTCAAATGAATCAATCTTATCATTTTATGAGTATTTATACATCTAAGAACATGTGACGGCACATATCGTAAATGGTCCAATTATTTGAAGATGTTTTAAGGTTGTGTAAAAACAATTTTCTTTAAAAACCTAACATTATAACGCTTACTTTCAAGTAAAAAAATTAAATTGAAGCTCTAGTAAATATTTTTGTGGGCTCGTTACTAATGATCGTTCATTGACAAATTCTGGCTACAACAAGGACTATTCTGCAAAAAGCTGAACGCATCAAGGAGAAAATTTCATAGACTAGTTCGCTCAATAGGTTATATGCTTAGAGGCTTCGGAATCTGGAAAAGGTCGTTTTCGGATGCCTTGTTACACGACCTGGCGACCTGGTCACGTGTTAAAGTTGAAACTCAAAGGAGTGTGACCTGTAACCTGATGAAGAAAAGGGGGACAGGGGATGGGGGGCTTTTGGAGATGTAACTTGCAACAAACAAAAAGTTATCTGCCCCCCCCCTCCCCTCCCTCTTCCCTCCATTTGAAGTTACTGGATCCATCCTTGCAAAATGTGTTGTTACTGAAGCGCTACAAGTCTATTGTAATAGCTTGAGTCCTAGCCCTTAAGTGATTGTGTATTTCAGGCTCATACTGTAAAAAAAATAATAAAATATTTCTTCAGATCTAATAAACAATATACATCCTAATCCATTTGAAGAGCAAGAGCTTGTGCCATAAGTCTGTCCGCCATCGGAGCTTTAATTTTTTTAGCCTTCTTTTCAGCGATAATACACCTGGGAAAACCAACAAAGAAACAAAAAAGAATTTTCAAACA